CAGCACTGTCTTTCAAATTTGTGAAAACTCAAATAATGTCTGGTAGTCAAGACCAAAAAGAAAGAAAAACCGCCAGTACTGTGACGACAATTTTTTTTCGACCAAAAATCACCACAGCGCAACTTCGCTTCTGAAATATTGCCCACCCAGTTGACTTGACGAAATAAACAACAATGAACAAATCAAGATGACTTAACAAGCTACACATAGTCCTCAAAAATGAAAAAACTTGTACAACAAAAAATCGCATAAAAGATGAACACAAAAAAGACATAATTTAGAAACATAAATACCAAAATCAAAAACTTAGTACTCCCAGGAACCGTCAGCATGTCTACAACGCATTAACAAGCCGAAAAGGCGTCGCTGGGTATTTCAAAGATGTCAAAACTGAAGAGACATTCAGTAGCCAAGACCAAAAGCAAGTGGAAACTACCAATTTGTGACAACTTTATTGAGACAAGAACACTCCAGCGCGAATTCGCTTGTGCAACAATCGCAACACTAAAAGAATTGAATAAGTGAACAAAAATGAACACATCAAAAAAACTATGTCAGCCAGTCACTGTGATCAAAAATGGAAAAACTTGTAACGAGAAAAACCGCATCACTGATAGACACATAAAAAGACATGATTCCAGACCAAAAGGTGAAATCAATAACTAAGCCTTCCCAGGTACCCTTAATAAAATATAAAGGCATTACCAAAACCAAAAAGGCAGCACTGGCTTTCAAATTTGTGAAAATTCAAATAATGTCTGGTAGTCAAGACCAAAAAGAAAGAAAAACTGCCAGTAATGTGACATTTTTTTCAAACAAAAAATCACCACAGCGCAACTTCGCTTCTGCAAATATCGCCTACCCAGTAGATTTGACGAATGAAACAACAATGACAAATCAAGATGACTAAACAAGCTACACATTGTCCTCAAAAATGAAACAATTTGTACCACAAAAATCGCATAAAAGATGAACACAAAAAAGACATATTTCAGAAACATAAATACGAAAATCAAAAAATTAGTACTCTCAGGAACCGTCAGCATGTCCACAACGCATAAACAACCCGAAAAAGCGTCGCTGGGTATTTCAAAGATGTCAAAACTGAAGAAACATTCAGTAGACAAGACCAAAAGCAAGTGGAAACTACCAATTTGTGACAACTTTATTGAGACAAAAACACTCCAGCGCAAATTCGCTAGTGCAACAATCGCTACACTAGTAGAAGTGAATAATTGAACAAAAATGCACGCATCAAAAAAAAACTATATCAGCCAGACACTGTGATCAAAAATGGAAAAACCTGTAACGAGAAAAACCGCATCACTGATAGACACATAAAAAGACATGATTCCAGAAAAAAACCTGAAATCAATAATTAGGCACTCCCAGGTAACCATAACAAGTAAACAAGGCGTTATCAACCCCAAACAGCCAAACAGGCAGCAGTTTCTTTCAAATTTGTGAAAACTCAAATAATGTCTGGTAGCCAAGACCAAAAAGAAAGAAAAACTGCCAGTAATGTGACGACAATTTTTTTCGAACAAAAAATCACCACAGCGCAACTTCGCTTCTGCAAATATCGCCTACCTAGTAGATTTGACGAATGAAACAACAATGAACAAATCAAGATGACTTAACAAGCTACACATAGTCCTCAAAAATGAAAAAACTTGTACCACAAAAATCGCATAAAAGATGAACACAAAAAAGACATATTTCAGAAACATAAATAGAAAGATCAAAAACTTAAAACTCCCAGGAACCATCAGCATGTACACAACGCATAAGCAACCCAAAAAAGCGTCGCTGGGTATTTCAAAGATGTCAAAACTGAAGAAACATTCAGTAGCCAAGACCAACTTTATTGAGACAAAAACACTCCAGCGCGAATTCGCTAGTGGAACAATCGCAACACTAGTAGCATTGAATACATGAACAAAAATGAGCACATCAAAAAAACTATGTCAGCCAGTCACTGTGATCAAAAATGGAAAAAACTTGTAACGAGAAAAACCGCATCACTGATAGACATATAAAAAGACATAAGTCCAGAAAAAAAGGTGAAATCAAAAACTAAGCCTTCCCAGGTACCCTCAAAAAATTATAAAGGCATTACCAAACCCAAAAAGGCAGCACTGTCTTTCAAATTTGTGAAAACTCAAATAATGTCTGGTAGTCAAGACCAAAAAGAAAGAAAAACCGCCTGTACTCAGACGACAATTTTTTTCGAACAAAAAATCACCACAGCGCAAATTCGCTTCAGCAGCTATCGCCCACCTTTTTGTCTAACAACGAAGAAGTTTCCGGCACATTGCTTTCCGGGTGAGCTGTTGTATGTCTCACTCGCGAAATACTCGATAGAGGGGAAAGTTCGGGCGTAGTATCTTCCTGGTATCTTGTAGGGCCCGGTGATGCAAGGCTGGTCACATAAGGTTCCTCACAAGGGTTATAAGGTACTGCTGATGCCTGGGGTTGTAATGTTGTTGTTATATAAGGTACTGTTGATGATTGGGGTTGTAATGTTGTTGTTGTTAATGATGATGTTGTAGTCTCGCAAGGCTCGGTAGTTTTGCCAGATTTTGTCAGTTCGTCGGTGCTAGTTTCCAGCGTTGATGATTTTAAGGCAGCAATGTTCTTTCTGCATTTTGGGGTTCTCCATGGCATGAAGTCCCCTTGGTAATTATAGGTGATTTATTCACCTTTCCGGATTGGTCTCTCACACACTATTTTTATGTGTCGCTCGCCTTTTTTGTCAGTGTGGAGCTTTATTTTCGAATTGGGTTTGCCGTCCCCGCAGTCGTTAATGAAACGGGCTAAGCCGCTTCTCTCGTCACTTCCATCGATGAAGATCTTCCCAGGTACCCTCAAAAAATTATAAAGGCATTACCAAACCCAAAAAGGCAGCACTGTCTTTCAAATTTGTGAAAACTCAAATAATGTCTGGTAGTCAAGACCAAAAAGAAAGAAAAACCGCCTGTACTCAGACGACAATTTTTTTCGAACAAAAAATCACCACAGCGCAAATTCGCTTCAGCAGCTATCGCCCACCTTTTTGTCTAACAACGAAGAAGTTTCCGGCACATTGCTTTCCGGGTGAGCTGTTGTATGTCTCACTCGCGAAATACTCGATAGAGGGGAAAGTTCGGGCGTAGTATCTTCCTGGTATCTTGTAGGGCCCGGTGATGCAAGGCTGGTCACATAAGGTTCCTCACAAGGGTTATAAGGTACTGCTGATGCCTGGGGTTGTAATGTTGTTGTTATATAAGGTACTGTTGATGATTGGGGTTGTAATGTTGTTGTTGTTAATGATGATGTTGTAGTCTCGCAAGGCTCGGTAGTTTTGCCAGATTTTGTCAGTTCGTCGGTGCTAGTTTCCAGCGTTGATGATTTTAAGGCAGCAATGTTCTTTCTGCATTTTGGGGTTCTCCATGGCATGAAGTCCCCTTGGTAATTATAGGTGATTTATTCACCTTTCCGGATTGGTCTCTCACACACTATTTTTATGTGTCGCTCGCCTTTTTTGTCAGTGTGGAGCTTTATTTTCGAATTGGGTTTGCCGTCCCCGCAGTCGTTAATGAAACGGGCTAAGCCGCTTCTCTCGTCACTTCCATCGATGAAGATCTTTTCTGTGGGTATGGCAAAAACATACTCATTTCTGTTCTCCTTCATTGTTTCAAAATACTCCTCTTTGGTTAGTCTTTTTCCCCGATAGAAAAGAAGGAAATCAATCTTTAAAAAATCATGCAAAAAGGCCTTAGACTCATTACTTAACTTGCTTGCGAATATCATAAAAAGCAGACCAATTTTTTTTTTTGATATGTCTTTTTGGAATCCGATGCACGACAGAGACCTCACTTGACCACCAGTGTGCTTTTTGTTGGAGAAATCAAAAATGTTACGCCATAGTACGCCATACCACCTTACGCCATTGTTCCTTCCCAATCATTCGAGATTGGTCGCACCAATAACTAACATTCTGTTTGAATATGTTCGACTGATGCTGATGCTTATCTAATACTCACTGAGTGAAGTGTTGTTTGAAGTCTTCGAATTCGATCTCCTGTTGGGCTAGTCTTCTAACAAAGGAGGCCACTGCCTCTTCGGACATAGCAGACTGCTTCAAAACAGCGTAGTCCGAACTACCACCTCCCCCACCCATGCTCATACTCATGCTCAGTCGGTCACGAGAACCAATCAACAACTATTTCTATCTGAAATATTTTCTAGTTTTTGGTCTGATTAAAGAATGCAGGTAAGCTCCCCGTTTGAATACTTTTAGAGCTGGGTAGTATAAAAGTTGGTAGGCAACATGAAAATCTCAATGTGATAACTCGCTCAGCAATTGACTCAATAGTTCTAACGTAACTTTTTATTGACTGCAAGGACCCCATTAAAGTAACATGTTGTGCCCAAATTTCGATGCCTCAAACAGACTGTGATGGTGCGATTTCCTTCCTAATTCAATAAAAGTCCAAACAAAAAACAAGAAAAATTAATGCCACCGTAAAAAGATGGTGGCATACAGCAGCGTTCTTCATAATTTAAACGATTCAAATACTCTTTTTTTCCATCCAGTAAACATCCAGTCACACCAAGTATCAGAGTCTACCATCCGACAACAATTAAACTGAGTTGAGTGCATTTCACGCACAGTATCCAAAAGAAGATAAACCAGCAAAAAAGTGGGACGAAAATTTTCTTATGAAAGAGAAGTCCCGAGGACTGCTGGAAGGTCAAAATCATGAACAATAGCATGATATGAGTACAGGCTACCAAAAAAACATGTTTGAAGGGCTGCTAGAAGAAAATTTCAAGTATCTGGATGCGTTACGTACTCGAGAAACCATGTTCGCATTGATGTTATTAACCTTCAGATTCAAACGTCGCGATTAGTATATCTTTTTCTATCGATTACCAATTAAAATGAAAATTTCAGTAAAACACACCTACTAGGTGGGATTTGCTTAATTTCTTGAGTGTTTGATTGAAATCAAAAATGAGCATTTCATCATTTCAATTTTATATCTCACTATCTGTAGAACAAAACCATTTGTTTAAACATCAAAAACAAAACATCATTACCAAGCATTTCATCATTTCAATTTTATATCTCACTATCTGTAGAACTAAACCATTTGCTTAAACATCAAAAACAAAATACTCGCTCAGAGAAGAAACTCTCCACAGAACCAATCTCTCTCTATTTCTACCTATCTATCAAAATATCCATCTTTCTGTCTATCTATCTAACAAAACTGTCCACGGTATCCATTTTTTCAGGACCGGCAATATCGTCATTGTGGCATTAGAACTCATCTTTTTCCGTACCAACCACCGCAGGAAAGTAAGCAAACATTTCACTTCCGTTAGACATCATTTCACTACTGTTTTCACTATTTTTTGATACTCTGTATCATCCAGTTCCTCCTGGGATTTTTGGCGTCCGTTAATCATGGTATCTACTTTGTGATCTCCGATAATATCGCCATCTGACTTTTGACTTCCGGTAATAACTCCGTCTGCTTTTTGGGTAGCTATGGTTCCAGTCGAAGATGCTCCTGAGAGCAGATTTGAGCCTGCAAATCCAGCTTCCCTGTAGTTGTGATCAGTGTCTGGAACACTAGGTGCATTCGGATCCTTTGGCTTATCATACATCAAATGCACCAGTGGTTTCACTTTACAACACTCAAGAGTCCGTTCGTCCTCGTCTAGGATTTCAATTGCCTGAAAAACTAATTTACTCTTCCCTTATTCTATGATTCTTTTCGCAATAATTGTATTTATTTGTTTGAATTACACTATCAAAACTGAAAAAAAACATTGGATCTATTAGAATTTTAAAAATCCCACACAAAAAGCTAACATTTTACAAGAGCTGGTCCTTCTCAAAGATGAATGTTTTCACATAATCTAAGGTTACAAACAAAATATGTTGATGACATAATCAACTTCTAACTACAAACTTACTTTTGATTCTGATTAAGCGAGGATGAAAAAGTTTTCAGCCAAAACCAATTAAGCTGACAATAAAACAATACGATCGATTAGTTTTTTTTATATACTGAAGTGCAAAAGTAAGTTGGCATGGCGAAAACAGTCCTAGAAGTTGGGAATTTTTCCAGGCTCGCGAGAAACACTTCCAGTTGAAAGATAAATTTCGAGAGATCAGCTCTAAGAAAAACTAGCACAGATCCCGACGCCTAAGCAGGGTGAACGCCAGACTGGACCCTGTTGAAGCCTAAAAAAGACATCTCAGCTTTCTACTTGAACTAAATCTACGATTGAACTGATTTACTTATTTAAAACCGCATTTAACAAAAATCAATTGACTACTATCTATAACTCATGAAATAATTTACATTCTTTGCGAATCACTAGTTTTATTCAGTCGGATTGGTGATTTTTCGTTTCCCAACTTTTGCTGCACAACATTTTTGGTGCAACGCGACTCACGAACGAACCAAAGATTAGAAACAAAGAGGAAAGTTAAAAATGTCATCACCTGCTAGTGACATGAGCAACGTGACGCTCACTCTTCCTGCTTTGAAGCGATCAAGAAGTGCTAACATCGGTGTCATTACCCGATCGGAAAATGCCGTCTCAGCAATCTTCAACAAAGAGGCATCTGCTCTAATCTACAAGGAAATTGGAACTCTCAAGGCCAATCTCACGATGTGCGAACGAAAGAAAAAATAACTGGAAGAGCTTAATCAGCAAACTTCAAATGTTCTAAACGATGATGAAGATGCACTTGAAGTTGAATTGGAAGAAGCTGAGAAAATCTACCTTCAAGTAGATTGTTTGATGGAAATGATCACAACTATGTTAGATGACCGAGGAAAATATTCAACTGAATCGGTCAAAGATGACGACAGCGCAAGCAGAACAGGATCCTACAAATCCACTTCCCAACGTGGTGCTGGCCGAAACCAAGATACTTGCCTGAAGTTGCCGAAACTGAATTCGCCAACATTTAGCGAAGGTATGATCAATGGCTACCTTTCTTAGAATCCTTTGATGGAGCAGTTCACTCAAATGCATCGCTGTCTGATGTTCAGAAACTGCAATACATAAAGGGTGCCCTCAAGGATGAACCGTTTCGTTTGCTATCCCACTCGCCTACTACAAACGCGAACTACTCAGTCGCAAGGGAACTTCTAAAGGATCGATATGCTGATGTCAAGATGATCTCACACGCTCACTTGGAAGCAATTATTGAATTCACTCCAATGAAGCATGAGTCATCCGCTGCATTACGTCGCTTGATTAACACCTACACGGAAAACACGATGGCACATACAGGACTTGGACTAAAAATTGATCAATGCGATTTGATCTGGGTTCACGTTTTGGCCAAGAAATTAGATCCTGAAACTAGAATACAATGGGAACTTTCCTGAGCGGGAAGTGACAGGCCAAAAATCAAACAGATGAAGAAGTTCTTGGAGGAACGATCTCGCGCCCTAGAAGCTACGAGGGACCTCCAGTTACCTTCACTTCATAGAAAAAATCATCAAGGCAATTCAGACCAATATGGAAACTCTAAGAAAGATGACATACCACACAGACACAGGTACAGACATACCACACGAACTCTGCTAAGACGATCATCTGCCCATGCTGCAGTGGTGATCACCGCGTGTATCAATGCACAAAATTTCAGGAAATGTCTATTTCCAATAGAAGACAAGAAGCCAAATCAAAGCGACTATGCTTCAATTGCCTGTCCCTTGGACACCAAAATCATGAGTACAAATCGAAGTCAAAGTACCAAACCTGTCGAAAGGGTCATCACTCGTTACTTCACATCCATACAGACCCAAACAAGCAACCGGAACCTGAAAATAAGTTTGCGGGTCACGGGGGTACTACCGGTGCCACTACCATACTGGGAACTGTACTAATTGAGGTGAAAACTGCAAATGGCGGTTATCACAATTGTCGAGCCTTACTGAACAGCGGATCTGAATGCAGTTTCGTTACAACCAGCTGTGCTAACTGACTCAAGCTACCAATCAAGAAATTGACTCTTCAACTAACTCGAGTTGGCGGAGGAGCAAAAACTGTGAAATCTGGTTCTGTCAATCTGGAAACAAAGGATTCTCAGAATCAATCTCTACATATTGAAGCCTTCACTCTTCAAAAACGTTCTGGCTACCTGCCCAGAAAACGGCTGAATATACCGAACAGTTTGGATATCACACGTCTTAAGCTCTCGGACTTAGACTTTGATAAACCAAAGGAAATCGATATAATCCTAGGCTGTGATGTCTAAAACGACAATATTGGCTGCGGAAAGCTTAAGCTTACAGACAAGCTTTATAAACGTGACACTCTATTTGGTTGGATGATTAGCGGCAGAACACCCGGTCCTCCAACAACCTTCTTCAAGTCATTTCATGTGTCTATTGACGATAGTCTAAGGAAGTTTCGGGAATTAGAAGAAATTCCTGATTTCAAAAAGACAACAACAGAAGAAGATCGATGTGAATCTCACTTTAAGGAAACAACCATACTACAAAATGGATGATTCACCGTGCAGCTGCCTTTCAAGCCCAATAGTCAACTTGGCGACAGTTTAGCACAAGCAAAACGCAGATTCAATTATCTCGAGCGACGACTGGAACAGAATCCAGAACTAAAAGATCGCTATACCGCATTCATAGACGAATTTCTCGATATGGGGCATCTGGAGTACATAACGTCTGGAGAAATCGAAAAGCCAATTGATAGCGTATATTATCTGCCATATCACTGCGTTTTCAAGGAAGACTCTACTACCACAAAGCTACGTGTAATTTTCGACGGATCTGCAACAACATCAACCGGACAATCACTCAACGACACGTGGTTGTTCCCACGGTACAAGACGACCTCTACTCGATAATCATGCGCTTCAGGTTCTACCCAATTGCTTTTTCAGCAGATATCGCAAAAATATGTACCGAGAAGTTGCTCTAGAGGACAAATCGAAGGATTTCCATCGCATACTTTGGAGATCAAATAAATCGGATGAAATCAAACATCTCAAGATGACACGTGTTACATATGGAATAGCTTTGTCAGCTTTTCACTCAACAAGATGCCTCAATGAAGTAGCAGATCAATCGAAGAACCCAATGATCAAAGAAAGTCTCAAAAATTGTTTCTATGAAGACGACTTTCTTTCTTTACCCGATGCCCGCTGAGGTCACTGGCTCTCCTACCCGATGCCCGCTGATCTTTTTGTATGGAAGTTTTGTATGGGAAAACTTTTGAAATAAAACAATTTGAGAGTATTTTATATCTAAAAACACATGATTATTTTATATTTGAGTATTTTAAAACAGTAATGAGAATTTTATGTATATGCATGTTTTCCTATGTTTGCAGTTTTAAAAAGCACTGAATTAGAATCAATTATGATGTTTTTCCCTCAACATTATGATGTTTTTCCCTGAATTTTATGTATATGCATATTTTCGTATACTTGCAGTTTTGTAATTTTACATCTTTAAACTTGCTTTTTTCTTCCAGGCATATTTAGAAATAAAAATAGAATCGCTGAATTAGCTAACTAAAATGGATTATAATCCATTATAATGGATTTTTCTACCTCATAAATAATCGATTATAATGGTTTTTCTTGACAAAATAATCAATTTCAGTGACAAAATAATGGATTATAATCAATTATAATGGATTATTTTTTCTCAAAAATAATCGATTATAATGGCAATATAATCGATTTCGTGGTCTGAACTTTACATCTGTAATGGATTATAATCGATTATTTTTGTCTCGGGAATCCGTTATAATCTATTAGAATCCATGGGCGCACGGTGCGGGAATCTTGATACTGGTGTTATTTAAGCCTAATTGACCCAAGAGCACTGTAAGTCACTCCACCAGTAGGATTTAACTTTAAGTCACTCGATAAACAGTTGGAACTGGAAAGGGATGCCGAATCCAGCAATAACTCTTAGAAACCGATGGTTGGTTGCACTAATCTACTTGAACTTCATGTTTAAGAATAGCAGCACTACTTACACACCCACCCCCTATGAAATTAAATGATTGAGTTCCCCATCGCTATCACCGGACTTGAATCCAATGGAGCACTTGTGGGATAACCTCTAACAGCACTTAGACGGCGTCATCCTGCTCCAACCACAATTTATTAGCTGGAGTCCGCTATTAAAGAAGAATGGATAAACTCTATGCCTTAGTCGTTTTAGAGCAGTGCTTACGGCACGAGGTGACTATTCTCAGTATTAGTGCATTTACGTTCTGCTAGCTTTCTTTTGCCTTTTTGGCTTGTCAACTTATTTTTGCGTCCCAGTATATTTAGCGACCAATTTTCGAAGTCACGGGTCACTCATCGGCGTGCTAATCACAGGAGAAATATCTTTTCAAATTTAAGCTTAGGAAAACAATACCTTTTGAATGATAAAATTTTGTTAAAAGGCTAGTTAAAAAGTCGAAACTTCTCTTAAGATAAAAAACACCCCGAGCACAAATATTCCGTTACTGGCTCTCCTACCCGATGCCCGCTGAGGTCACTGGCTCTCCTACCCGATGCCCGCTGAGGTCACTGGCTCTCCTACCCGATGCCCGCTGAGGTCACTGGCTCTCCTACCCGATGCCCGCTGATCTTTTTGTATGGAAGTTTTGTATGGGAAAACTTTCGAAATAAAACAACTTGAGAGTATTTTATATCTAAAAACACATGATTATTTTATATTTGAGTATTTTAAAACAGTAATGAGAATTTTATGTATATGCATGTTTTCCTATATTTGCAGTTTTAAAAAGCACTGAATTAGAATCAATTATGATGTTTTTCCCTCAACATTATGATGTTTTTCCCTGAATTTTATGTATATGCATATTTTCGTATACTTGCAGTTTTGTAATTTTACATCTTTAAACTTGCTTTTTTCTTCCAGGCATATTTAGAAATAAAAATAGAATCGCTGAATTAGCTAACTAAAATGGATTATAATCCATTATAATGGATTTTTCTACCTCATAAATAATCGATTATAATGGTTTTTCTTGACAAAATAATCAATTTCAGTGACAAAATAATGGATTATAATCAATTATAATGGATTATTTTTTCTCAAAAATAATCGATTATAATGGCAATATAATCGATTTCGTGGTCTGAACTTTACATCTGTAATGGATTATAATCGATTATTTTTGTCTCGGGAATCCATTATAATCGATTAGAATCCATGGGCGCACGGTGCGGGAATCTTGATACTGGTGTTATTTAAGCCTAATTGACCCAAGAGCACTGTAAGTAACTCCACCAGTAGGATTTAACTTTAAGTCACTCGATAAACAGTTGGAACTGGAAAGGGATGCCGAATCCAGCAATAACTCTTAGAAACCGATGGTTGGTTGCCCTAATCTACTTGAACTTCATGTTTAAGAATAGCAGCAGTACTTACACACCCACCCCCTAAGAAGCAAAAAATAGTTGATTGTCTATGGCAAAAAATAGTTGATTTTATATATAGAAAAATCAACTATTTTTTGCTTCATAAAGGGTGGGGGTGTAAGTACTGCTGCTATTCTTAAACATGAAGTCCAAGTAGATTAGGGCAACCAACCATCGGTTTCTAAGAGTTATTGATGGATTCGGCATCCCTTTCCAGTTCCAACTGTTTGATGCGCTCTTGTTGTTCTTGAATAATCTCAATCTCTTGCAGCTGAAGAAAAACATATTAATAAAATTAAGAATCCACAAATTATCTGTTTTCATTAACATTGAGCTCGCGAGCAAATTACAACTTGCATGTACGGAAAAAGTATGTTCATAAAATTAAAGATCTCTATATCATGCTGATTTGATCGAACTGAAAATCTTAGAAGTAGCAATGGGACAATTTTTTTTAACAAACAAAGACAACAGACAGTTAGAAAAAATCAATGAACGCAAGTAAAAAGAAAAAATCCGACTTACTTTTTTGAAAAAATTTCAGCTTTCAAAAAAGATTGTTTTTTAAGCTCTAGAAACATTTGTGATTGACACTTTTTGATTAAACTAACCCAATTTCAGAAAAATGGATCAATAAGTATAACTTTAATTTCGCTACGAAATTCGATAATCAAAATCCGAAATTGGAAGCCGATCACGTTTTTTGTAACTTTTACACTTTCACTGCTCGATAGTGGAGCTTACTTTTCTTTTACACAGAGGCGAGGTTGCATACACCAGCAAAACTATGACCGATAACGCTACTGGGAAAAACTGAATGAGTGAAAATTTCTACAAAATTTCTTAAGTGACGCTCGCCAATTATGAGTCTGATAATTGCTAAGTGACACAAGCCAATCATGACGCATTAGCAGTACCAGCCATTTTGAAAATTTGTCATTTACCAACTAACATGTCTCAATTTAAAGAGCGGACACATTTTAACTAGTATACGAAAAAGTTCATTAAAACATCCGACCCTGCCCAGGTTCGAACCCTCAAATTTTGCTGGGGGGTCTCCTTCCCTACCTCTACGCTACAGATCCATGATCCTTAAAACTAAACTATTATTTGTAATATAATAGTCTGTGTTAAAATTCTTAGCATTGGCCGACTTAATAGCTGATCATTGATCAAAATGAACACTTTCAAAAAGAAATCAATTTGTGGCAATAATTTTGCGTCGCAACATTATTTGCGACTTAGGTTGGAAAAAAAGATAGTTCATACTAAAACACAAGCATTGCTTGTGTAGAAAGACTTATGAAATTCAAAAAGAACTTTATAAAATTCAAAAAAGAACGGCCTTCAACGCTCTTTGAAATTCCAGAAAAATTCCTAATTGGCAAACTTTTGATAAAAATAGCCCAATTTGAGAAAAATGGATCAATAGTGAAATATTCCAATAGTCCAATTTTCGAAACTAAAGGGAGTCGATCCCGTTCTTCGTGAGCCTTCCTTTTAGCAAAGGAAATGAACTAAACTAAAAAAGCAATCAAAATTCAAACGCGAAAAAGCAATGTGAGTGTGAGCAACTTTTCAGACTTTTTGCTGAAAAAAAATCACCAAGACATATTTGAGAGTTTTCACTTAGTTAATTGATAAACTACTACGATCGACTAGTGTTTTAAAAACACATCAAAAAATCACCCAACTGTTCGATTGCCAAAAATGAACATAAAATGAGTCAACAGAAAACATTGAACACGTTAACTTAAGCGTACCTGTGAATCAGAATTGAAGCGGGACAATTCTATATTTGAAATGAACATTCGAACGCGAGGTGCTAGTTTCTTTTTCAAGTCAAATATCGTATCCGTCGAGTTCACATAGACATTCAGAGACCCATACAAATGATGTGACCTTCTATTCCCCCCGCTGTATTTTGAAATTTCTCTGATCTTATCAAGACGGTTTTTCCGGACAATGTGGACACATTTTTCAGTGTAACGATACTGGTCCTGGTCAGCTTTTTCAGTTATTTTGATCCAACATTGAAAACACATATTCGAATTTATTTTCCACTTGCATGGCATATTTTGTCCACCGCATCCATTATCGAGAAAAACTTCCGCGTTTTCCGACAATTTTTCAACTTTTTCGAAGAATATTGGCGAGTTTGAAAAGCCGATATTTAAACTCTCTAGCGTGGCCTTTTGTTCATCTGTGATTTTGAAATATTCAAGGCCAATTTGTTCGATAAGAAATTGTTCACGCGGTGTGTCTGGTCCGTCAACGTGAACAGGTATTTTCCTTGGTCTTGTTTCACAGCTGCAATAGAAGGGGTCCCAATTTACCAAGAAAAATGGGCCACCTGATTCGCACAATTCTCCTGTCAGGAGGCCTGAGTTTTCTTTGAAACGCTTGATCAAATCTTGAAGATCTGAAACAGTTAATGGGTAAGATACCTAAAATTTAAACTTGAGCTTGAAAAATCCATTACAAGTTGCTAACAATCTAAGAAGTCAAAATAATATAAGCCTCGTGTTGAACAGACATTTTGAAATTGATTTCATTTAGCTAAAAAGTAAGCTCTTTTGGTTCGTAAATGATTTTAGTTCCTTTCTTAAAGCGTTTATTATAACAATCATGTCGTCGGTCTTAAGAACTTTACTGAGATCTATCCAGACAACTCATAAATTTACCTCCAGCTGCTCAAAGTTGATGGAAACGTATTTAAAAATGAATTCTGACCGTCTAATACAGTGAGTGGGATTGCATAGAGACGAGACACCCCGTCCAGTGGAGGCACTCGACCGACTGAAGTCGAACTCTGATTCCATCTCAACTCCTTCAGAACTGAAATTATTCAATTTTTACACTTGCTTTTCATAAACATAGCATGGCAAAAATCAATTTTGAGAGTAGATGAGTTGAGAATCTTTTATAAAAATAAAATCAAAAAGGCCATTATAACCGACTTCATGTGAATAACGTACTTTTTGTACGTTACCTTGAATGAATTTCAATTTCAGAAACCAAATGTCTTGAAAAACAATTGACAACGTTAGATTAAACCTCAGCAAAAAATCCCATACTCAAAAGACGCCAGCATAACTTTCGGAGACTCCCCCCAATGAGAAAAAACTGAAAAAAAAATTGAAAAAACAGCTTATAAGTTTTGCAAGTTCTTTCGTCTCCCACCAAGCGTACACACTTATCAAAATCGAATGTAACCCTAGAGTACGCCAATGCATTTAAGGACAAAATTAATTGTAAATTCAGGTTTTTAGTACCTAAACTGCATCTTATCAAGGATCATTTTGGACTACATTCACTGGGAATACAAGACATAGCCAATCGAAGATTGGAAAAGAGTAATGAACGCAAGTAAACATAAAAACACTGACTTTATTGAAAATCTTTCGAATTTCAAAGAAAAAAAATAGATACCCTTTAAGCTCTTTGAATTTCTAAACCATTTATGATTGGCGCTTTTTTGATAACATGAACCCAACTTGAGAAAACTGAATTTTTCGCGCCATTTCCACGTTCGGATTTGGAGAGTGCTATTAACGTCACTTTCAGCAGATGAATTTCAATTGAACTCAAAAAGTGCATAATACCTAAGTGCATCAAAATTTTAACTTTTTCCTGAAAAAAAAACAAAACAAAAAAATCAGCAAGACCGATATAAGCGTCTTCACTACCTTCATTACTCTTTAAAAAAAATTTTCCCTGGACCAAAAGCAAATGATCACGGCTACCCTCTATGAAATTATTAATTTTTTCTTTCAAATGATTGCCAATTTTTTCAGGGTCTGAAATAACCAGTTCCCCAAATGCACCTGGTTATTCAAAACGCTTCACATTGTACGAAACAGTTGAGTTTAGTCAAGATATCACAGGTAAGAGTTCAATTTTAACGCTTAGAATGTTTCACATCACAACAAAAACTCACAAGAAAATTACAAGAATTCACTCCGATGTAAAACTTAGTGCAGACGGTTAAAACTGGCATTCTCAGGTCCGGAAGCACTGCTAGGTCCTTGAAAGTAAATTTCATTAATTTTATAGGGGTAGCTATGACCATTTACTCGTTTCCATATCTAGTGTTTAAATCCGCAGTGAATTTTGCCCCGGAACAACCTAGAAAAAAGGCGTTTTTTCCATCTACAATAAGTTTTGACGGGGAGACGACTTTCTTGAATATGCAAGGAATTTTTTTAATGCGATTTGAAACTTTTTAAGCAATAAAATTGAATTCACGCGGTTTGAAAAACCTAGTTCAGCAGGTGAAAACTGGTAATTTCAGACCCGGAAAAAAACTTCTTGAAAGAAAAAAACGAAAAAAATTTATGGAGGGTAGCTGTGATCATTTGCTATGAAGGTACATGAAAAAATTTTGTTGAAAATCCCAAGGAATGTTGTTCTAATATATGATTCTTAATAGAAAGCAGCATAGAAAAAAGTTAAATTTGCGTTTAAATTTCTTCACAAATGAAGAAACTAGTAGTTCAATTTGAGCATTCCACAAATTGAGGTTGACAGAAATTGTTAATATAAAACATGGGTATAGAATGTTTCCATGCAAGTTTTAAAAACTAAAGCTATATTTGAACCACTAGTGCAATAAATTAAAAAACCGCAAAATGTGACCTACACTGGTGAAAATTAAACAATTTCCAGCTATTTTCAAACTTAGAGCTGATATAAAAGTTTGGTCATGAGTCGCACAAGCAATAAATTTGTTTGTTCAGTTTTTTTTAGATTAAAATTGGAAATGGTTCGTTAGAGCCTTGCCAAAAAACCCCAATTCATTGGACCGACTAGAAAAGAAGTTACTCACTTTTTTTTCGCGCCACTAGAGTACATAATTCCAGAGCATAGATTGCCTATCAACGAATGAAAATGAACTGAGCTCAAAAAGAAACCAAAAAGCCGACATCACAAAACCCAATTTTGAGCGTGGTTGAGTTTTAATTTTTTTCTTAAAACACAAAAAATCAACACGGCCCATACAAGTATCTTCATTAAGAATTATGAAAAATTTATAAGTTTGTCTCGAATGAACTTCAATTTCAAAAAAATGTCTTGAAAAAGAAACAATTGTCAAAGTTAAATTAGCATTCAGCGAAAAAAAATTATCATGCTCCAACCAGCCTGTAAAATTTCGGGAGACGTCCGCTTACAGAAACTGAAAAATGTTACAAAACAAAATCACCTTGTAGATTAAGGAAGTTTTTGCGTCTCCGACCAAGCATACATACTTATCAAAATCTAATGTAACCTTAGAGTACGTTTAATACACTGAAGGACAAATATAAACGCAAATTCAACTTTTTACTCTGTAAAATGCCTCTAATCAAGGATCCTTTTGGACAACACTCACTGGGAGTTTGAACAACAATTTTTCAAGGACCAAAACGAAATGATGAGAGCTACCCTCCGTCAAATTATTCATTTTTTCTTGCAACGACTTACAATTTTTCCGGGTCTGAAAAAAAACCAATTTTTGTCACATGCACTAGGTTTTTCAAAACGCGTAAAAATGTACCAAACATCTGAGTTTGGTAAGGATCTGAAGCGCAAAAATTAAATTTTATCGATAGAAAGTTTCACATCACTTGAGAAAATTGTTTTCTCTTATTCGAGAAAAAAATTCCTTCCGAAGCGAAACTTAGTGCAGATGATTAAAACTGGCATTATTAGGCCCGGAAAAACTGCTAAGTCCTTTAAGGCAAAATACAAAGATTTGAAAGGTGTAGCTCTACATATTTAAATGCGGTCTATTAATAAACTTTTGTTTAATCTCGCTGTGAATTTTGTCCGAAAACAACCTTGAAAATAGGCGATTTCGCCTTCTGCAAAAGGTTTTGCATCGGAGAGAAGGCTTTCTTAATAGGCGAGGAAAAATAAATTTTTGATGCGATGTGAAATTTTCTAAGCGATAAAAATGAAATCTTCCGTTTCAGATCTCAACTGAAATCAGGTTTTTAGTACATCTTTACGCGTTTTGAAAATTCTAGGGAATTTGACGAAAACTGGTATGTTCAAAACCGGAAAAAAATGGAAAGTCGTTGAAAGAAAAATCAATAATTTAAGAAACCGTAGCTCTGATTATTTGGTCTTCTGATCCTTTAAAAGAAATTTAGAAAAACCCCTAGATTTGCGGTAACTTCGGTTCACATTTGAAGCGCCACTCGTTGAAATCTTTAAGCCATTCGTTGAAATCTAGCAGAGTTGGTCGATGCCACTGGCGTCTTACGGTTTGCATTGATCATGCCTCCTTAAGGTTCGGGGGAAGCTTACTCACAGCTTGATTCAGCAAGTTAACACTTTTCAGGTCGTCGTCAAAAGACAGAGACTTGAATACGGCAACAAGTCCAGAAATTGCAGAGGAAAATCCAATTACATTTTCCGAGTTATGCATTTTCAGCGGCGGAAAATTACTCAATTTATCTAGATGAGCCCCTACTACAGCATGCGGCTGCCCGAACTTTCTTTGAAGAGTTACTAATGCGTCTTTATATAGTACTCCGCTATAGCTATACTCAGCGATTGCGGATTTTGCTTTACCCACTACGAGCGTTTTCAGATAGTTAAGCTTTTCATCGTCACTGAGTATGGCTGAATCGACCGTCGATGTGAATTGCCCAAACCACTCATGCCAATTAAGTGGGTTGCCATCGAACTGGGTCAGCTTCCACTCAGGGAGATGATCTTTTCGGCTGTGCATGAGTATATTAACCAACTCTCGTGTCAAAAGTGGACGCTCGACGTCTGCACCAAGTGAATTACCGGGAGTTGGCGGTGTGTAACTCGAAGAATTACCGTGACAATCAGGAACGAACGGTTGGTTAGCATGTGAAGAATTTTCAGGCTGCGCAAAAAACAGTCCCTCCACTTGAATAAGGAACAAAATTATTCGGAGGAACAATCGGAGTTACTGCGGAAAAAACAGTTGTCAAAGAAACGTAGTGTTGTTGAGCTGACATTAAAGGGGCAGTAACAGCTGGTCTCCACAAATTACTATAAGGATTATAGTGGTCACTTGAAAAGTTATAACTACCAACGGGAACACCCATATGTTGTTGGGATGGGATTAGAGATGCTTGGTAGCCAGCTACTACTGATCCTGTAGTTTGATGACTTAAAGAAACCTGATTAGTTGTTGTTGATGCAGGAACGAACGGTGCTACACCAGAAGGAACTTCTGCGGATGTTGTCGGAGCAAAATCATTTTCAGAAGTTACCGGGACTAATGACCCTGTGTTTGGATTGCCTAGCACCGGATGAGTGGACAAAAGATTTTGCTGAGGCAAATTATTAGAAACAGGTTGAATGACCTGTTGTAACCCTACTGGATTGTTAACGGAAACCTGCAATCGGACCAAATTCGACAAATTATGATGTTGTCCGTGAATGTGCTTACTGTAAGGCAATCCCGGATCACTAGAAGCTGCCTGGACATTATTCACTCCTGTAAAACTTTGTGAGACCAAGTAATTTGTTAATGCAGGATAGGTTGCCTCAGCTGTTGAACGAACGTGCTGCTCTTGATTGGGAACTACAACAGCGTCAGGCTGATTGTGGTCGACAGATTCGACCCAGTGACGCGTACAATCCCTTTCGTCTAGTGTTAGTTGTGGAGAGATTCGAGTTAAACCACTTTCCTCGGCATTCTCGCTGATTTCCGACAACTCATCTTCTAACTCAAGCCCTTTCAACTCAATTTCTGCCAGTTTTTTCCTGTGTTCTTCAGCCAATTTTTCCAACTCTAAACGGCTTTGTTGTTCTTTCAGTCTTAATGATACCTTTGCCTGCCTCTCAAGTTCCTCTTGTTGTTTCTTTAAAATCATTAAATCGCGCTTTTTCTCAAAGTGTTTTCGACGGAGCGGCGGAATAACTAGATTTCTGAGAACCCGATTGCTGTGCGACAACTTAGAGCGGGTATCTGTTTAATGCGACCGGGGTTTTTCACTTTTTTTCAGAATGATAAGAAACTTTTGAGCTGCAATCTATTTTGTCCGGCTCTGTTACTGCCTCAAAACTTGTTTTATATGTGATAGCTTCCTGTAGAACTTTACCGTTGCTTTGAGTCAACTTATGAAGCCACATATCCTGTGCCGGTATCAATTCGTCGGGATTGGCACTTTTTGCTGCCATATCAATCAACTCAGTATTTATCTCGACCGCTTGTTCTATATAGTTCCTACATTTTTCAATATAAGTATCAATTTTTGAGCAACGACTCTGACCCTCTATGTATTGTATTCTAAAATTATTTCGTGGCATTTATAAAGTTCGTTTTCGAGATTGCTACGTTTCTTAAACAACTTCTTAATTTTCTTCTGAAACTTAACTTCCATGCTTAATAACTTCAGAAAAAAAACGACTCTTAGAAAAAACTTTATTTTCACTCAAGTAAATCTACAAAATACTCTAATACATCAATAACTTACAAGTGGGAGTAACTTGAAGTTTCAATGCTTTAAGTCTGTTGTGAATCGCTCTACGATTTTTAGCCGACACACGGTTTCGCTTCTTCTTAGTTTTCAGTGCATTTAGGTCAGCACTGTATCGTCTAAGCAACACCAGAGTCTTCAACTCAAGGGAAGGGGGCTGGTGCAGCTCTTTATACTTTTCGATAAGTATTTGGCCTTTCGCTGTGAGATAAAATCCTCAACTATGTTAAGAACGAGAATACCCTTCTTTTTCAACTCTTCTTCTATATTGTTCGTACCGTTGCGGCGACAGTATACAACAGCGGTAATATTCTCCTTGTATCTCAAAAGAAGGCTCTTAAGTTGGTCAGTACTCAAACTACGGTTGTTGTTACTGCGGTGCTTACTAATGGAGTTATTTATGGCGTGCCAAATAACTAGATCTTTCCGATTCGACAAAAAGTGGTGCAGATAGTATTGGATAGTTTTCTGCGAGTCCCTGGCGTTAAAGTTAAAGCTTAAACCGGGCTTTGTGAAACAATTCTCTTTCATGCGCTTTTGAGACGGCGCGGATAGTATACGGAGGGCGTGGTCCAAGGAACTAGCCCCTAGAATGAATACCATACCCTTAAGAGACCTATGCGACGGCTACGTTACTCTTAAGTACCAATGGGGTGGGGAAATTAAGTAGGTCGGTTGAACTCCAACAACGCACACGGAGTAAACCTGAGGATGAAAGAATTCAACTTAACTCACTTAATATCACCGTACTTGACCACTTAACATTAGTGACGCGCAACGAAGTAAATAATCGGACGGGCTGAAACGGCTTAGATTTACTTGAAGCGAACTGGCTTTTAGTTTCACCAATGGTGGGTGGGGGATCAGGCAAATTGGTTAAGTTCCAACAACACACGCGGAAAAAACCTGAAGATGAAAAAACTCAACTTAATTTGCCTAATATTTCGCTACCAGACCACTTACCATAAGGTTGGTGTCATGTTACAGCACAGTTTCGCAGAATTATGGGGACGTTTTGAAAAATTTTGGTAAAAAAGTAAAAAATTGCCTAAAAATTTTGGTCAGCAGGTTCGAGTCATAAACCAATCCATAAAACTAGTCTAGTACCCCATGTCTATGATCCGATTTCACGGATTAATATTCTGTTCACAAATATCCAAAAAATTTTGGTATCGAGGAAAAATTACCACTTGTAGCTTGCTTTGAGTTGGGATACACAATAACACATCGTACGTAATTTTATTGCAAAGAATGGTTTGTAAAGACAACTTTCGGTCCACTGGCCAGTCGGTCAACAGAAACTCTTTCCACGGTAATTGAGTTATTTGCCTAAACCACAGACAGGCCTGAAATGTCGACCCTCGCGTTTCCAGCACGATGCTCTAACCGACTGAGCTTAATTTTTTTCCTCCGATATTTTTTTCAATAACTTTAACTGTTCCTGGATAACTGGACTGCCCAATGTGACGTCTTCGGCAACTCTCTCCGCCACTTTTCTGTACCACACTAGGGCACCTTCGCAGCTTTGAGGCACTCCGATTCCTTAATCGGCTATGAACTGAAAATACTGGATGAGATCGGGTCCCTTGTGGGGCGCCAAAATGTGCGCCTCAAGCTCCACGGATTGTAAAAATATCGGGTTTCAAACAATTTAATTCGAGCATTTTATCGGCAAAATAACTCGGTAACAATGATACTCAATTTATCGGTAAGAATGATATTTTTTTAACAAACTTTTTCATCGGTCACATCAGCCACAAAAATCTGCACAACTCAAAGCAAACTTTTTCATCGGTCACATCAGCCACAAAAATCTGCACAACTCAAAGCAAGCTGCAAAAACTGCCAGTATTTGTCCTTGAGACAAATTGCTCTTTTTAAAGGTCAGCCTTAATCAAGGCTGAACCAAATTAGGACGAAAAGACGGTTAAAATAGGTTTTGGGGGATCGAAGGCTCTTTTCCAGTTTCCCCCCCCTTTCCAATTCAATTTTGAAAAGTCTATTTAACGTTGTCATAATGCATTGAAATTTGGCGTGGTGAACAAATCGACAATTCTGAACAGATTTGTTCTTCATACTTTGCAGCGTAAAATCACGCATTTAGCCGTAATAACACGTAAAACAAATATAAAACTCGGTATTTTGAAAGGGGGGGAACTGGAAAAGAGCCGGATCGAACCTGGTTACGAAACATCCCATCAAGTTCGGGGCATGTTTGAGTTCTAGAAAGGAAATGACCTAGTCGGGATTCGAAACGTCGCCGAACCCGCCGGGACGCACCCTGTATACGCTTGGGTACTGTCCCTATATGCAATTTACATTTTGGTTCAGTTTTATGCATTTATACTCTCGCATTTATACTCTCATGCATTTGCGCTGCAACAAATGTTCTATTAGAAATGATAGATAGCCAGAAAAAGAACTAGGTTCTTTGAAAGCTATTCGTAAGCGTAATAAATTTGTCGCTGAATCCCTTCCTAAAGGCTTCAGATTAACTTTGCGTTTGGCAAAACATAGTCTTAAACGCCCAGGTTTTTAACCCAAACTTCCAAACACTTGTCAATTACTAATCTTGTAGTAACTTGGCCCTGTCAATTTTAAGACGGGGTTGTGTTTGTGATAGGCAAGGCAACACTTACTATTTTGATATGGTTTTAGTCGCATTCTAGCCACCTCTGTTAAATCTTCTTCTTGCTTCGCTAGATGTCGGCACTCTGCACAGATCTCCCACGGCACCACATCCACATCGACGTCTCCAAATCCACCGAAGCCCCCACACACTTTTACACCTAGAAGCACAATACTTAAGCACATAAGAGAACAAGAATGAATTAATTTTTTATACCTGACTTTCATTTGTGGTATCTGATTTTTTTTTGTGGAAAAAACACGCCTGGTGCTTGAGTCTCCACGCTTCGCGGTCGGAACAATTTTTTTATTCATGTCTAATACGTTTTTTTCATAAGTGCATAATTGTTGGCACGAGAATTAAATTATTGTTCCGGACGCCATGGGACACTTAAGCTTCATGAGAATTTAACTTTTACACAAAAAAAATCAGACACCACAGATCAATTGAACAATCTCCATCCCTTCTCGCTGGGACGAAAATCAGACACCATCCCTCCATCCAAAAGCTCAATAGGTACTAGAGACATGTTTATAACCACTTGAAAATAGTTTGAATGATATGAAATTATAAAACAGATTCTCCAACGAATGTGGAACGCCAAAAATTACAATATCAAAGCTCAAAAAAAATCAGAGTGAAAAAGAATAAATGAAACTGAAGCATATAAAGTGACTTTTTTCTGTCCTCAAAGGAGGAAAAATGTATTGTTTTTCGATACTCATATAAAATTAACTTCAGTCGGTCAATCGATTGCGTGCTATAAACACATCATCCATCTACTTGCGTTTGCTGACGTATTTTTGTAGAGTTTATTCGTTTTTGCTTCGGGGAGATAGCTCAATCGGTCATTACTGGAGGGGGGTTGGGGGATTGCTTAATGGATCCGATACCACAAATAAATGTCAGATAGGGTCGAAAGATGTATCGAATCATAGTCCTTTAGAAACTCTCTTTAGCCGCATTGATCAGCGCAGATTATCAGAATTGATTACCAGCTGGGTATTAGAAGTGGATTCATAATATTACACTACGCTACCAAGCTGCTGTGGTAAATAGAATCGTATTCAAGAACTGGTATTCAAACACTAGGCTGCCAAAGTAAAGGTATCAAAAGAAAGGACCTATGTATAACTTCAAGCAATAAGTCGGAAATTCAATTTCACTGAAAAAAAAAAGATTAAAATTAGCGCGCCATCGATTTTCAATAACAATCGCGAAAAGAGCTAGCCTTAATTAAATTAGTGAAATAGCGTTTTTCTTTAAAAATTGCCTTAAAATCGACGACTAGGTGGCTTTTGTAGTCAATTTCAGAAATTCGCCCACCTGGAGGACAAATTTTTTCAGTTCTGGGGAAATATTTCTGCACATACTGCATGCCATCAGACCCAATCAAAGCCCAACATCTTTCATCTGGGTTTATTTTCTGATGATTGCAAATAAGTTCCTCAGTTAGACTAGTCACTGGTGCCTCCGTCGACCCCTCGGATCCCTGATCGTCAGTTGGGCTACTTGATTGGTGCACGAGATCACACCCGTTACTCTCGTCAGCATCTAACTTTGCAGCTACTCTCTAAAAAGTTATAACACCATAAAGTAGCCAAAGAATAGCCAAAAATTTGAAACGTCTTAATGAATCTATCAAGCACAAAATTTTGTAATTGGTACGTTTTCGAACCGATTGATACATTTTCGAGGCGGATCAGATTTTGACCATGATCACTAACTTGCCAAAACCAACACTGACAGTTAGAAAAGAGTAATGAATGAATGCAAGGCAGCAGAAAAAAAAAACTTGATTATTGAGAAAACTTGAACTTCAACTTCGTCAACAATTTATGCTGACCCTTTTTCGAAAAAATTACCTCAAATTGAGAAAACTGGATCAAAAGGTTTAAATTTATATATTGGGTGGTTAAGCTGATATTTCAATTCCATTTTCGAAAGTAGAAGTCGATCACGTTTTTCGCGAATCATACACTTTGTTGTTCGATAGAGGAGTTTGCCTTCCTTTTAACAAAGGAATTGAAGTGAATTTGAAATAAATCAAAACTAAAACATTGCCAACAGGCAGTTGGATAAGAGCCAATGAACGCAAAAAAAAACTGAAAAACAACATTGACTTGTTATTTTTTTATCTCAACTTCGGAATTTCGAAGAAAAAAAGATGCCTTTAAAGATGCTCTTTGATTAGATGCTCTTTGAATTTCTAAAAAAATTTATGACTGGCACTTTTTTGATAAAATTAACCCAATTTGAGAAAATTGGATAAATAAATAAAATATAATATTTCGCTGGAAAATCTGCGAAATAAATACAAATTTCGAAACTAGAAGTCGATCACGTTTTTCGTGACCTTTACAATTTCGCTGTTCGATAGGGAGGTTGACTTCCTTTTAACAAAGGAAATGAACTGAACATAAAAAAAACATCTTAAGTCAAACCGTGAAACTACGTTCAGTTCCTTTAATATAATCCAATTAAAATTGACCAAGCTAACAAAGTCAACCTAAAAGGCTGATTAGGGGGAGTATGCTGGTTGATAGGTTCTAAGTTACCATTTTCAGCCAATCAGAAACGACACGCTGCGCTGGATAATTCAAATTGAGATTAAATTGTGCGGTGGAAATTCTTTAAATGGTATTTTCAGGGGGTGTTTATTTAAAACCAGTTATTGTAGTTTCAAATAGCTTTCATGAAATCAGATTTTTGGAAAAATCAAATAAGGAAATCGGAAAAGTTGAAAGATGTCTGGTGAAAATCGCGAAAGCTCAACGTGTAAAAAAAGCCAAACCGCAAAAACTTTAATTTATGCAGGAGCAACAAACTTTAGCCTGAACAACCTATTTCAGCGTGAACACCCAAAAAAAACGAACAAAAACACGACCTCAAAATGTTAAACTTCTCAGTCGTCAAACAGATCAGATGAAACTAATTTACGATGGATGATCAACTTACGTGTTGTGGAGCTATTGCATTCTTTCTTATTTTCCTCCACTCCTTCAATAGCTTCTGATTCACCACAAAACAATCGGCACTTCTTCCCGCGTCTTCATTTTCATTCCCTACTACTCTCATTTCGTCCGATACATCCATCGGTTCATTTATCTGCTTGCCAGATATACTTCCAGTCCCATTATTGACTCCTCTATCAATTACATTCTCAATTTGGAACACTCCATTCGGTTTAAGTTTCAGATCCACTTGCACATGTGTTGTTGCTTTTGACAGATATCTTACAAGTTCAACGTTGTTTGTGAGAGTAGAATTGTTCGTATATTTCAACATACATTTCCACTCAGTTTTAAGTCGCTCCTCAAACACGTAGCATTCAACTGCCTCTTGCACACAGTCACGACAGATGTTCTTTTTCCAGAACAGACTAAAGCCACTGTTTTTCAAGGTCATAGCAGCTGAAAAACAATTATTCCAGGCTCATATAAACAGTAAGGATAGCCGACTGCTGCGCAAGTAGCACAGTTCCGACCACTATAATTCAAGAAAAAGGCATCGAAAAACGAAAAAAAAACTAATGCAAATTTTTTTTAGTTAACTGATTAGATGAAAAAAAAAAATAATAAAGAAAAAATCATAATTTGAATTGTAGCGTAGAAATAGTAGCCCAATTGAATTGGGATGTCAACTAAAATCGTGTAAATCCACCAAATTTTGTGTAAATTAGTCTGAAATCCTGAAAATATTCAAACCAGTTTTTCTTGACACAGCATAAAAATTTTTAAAACTTTTTTTAGAAACCAAATCACGACTAAAATAGCTTTAATAATCAACAACTACACCGGAATGTTAATATACAAACAACCCTATACTGATACGAATGAGACTTTACTACTTGTTAGATACAAAAGTATATTAATGGATCTATCAATATTAATGGATCTATCAATATCATTTTTTTTCGTGTGTTTCCATCAAAAATGTTTGAAATTCAAAATTAAATTTTTGTTTAGATTGAACTTTTCTCAGCTTTACGTTTAAACTGTTCCATATACAATAATAATTGTTTAATACAGATCCCCCCAATCTGGGTGGTAAAATGAGAGTAAACACGAAAGTAAGAGTTTTAGATAATTAATAACGACTTTCTATGATGACTTTCGAAAAATAAACAACTTCTTTTTCTATTTTCGCAGATTTTGTTTTATTTGTTCTGTGCGTTCATTTAATTTCATAGGTACTCTGTTCTAGATAAACTGCCTATCAGCTTCATTTGTCAAAAAAAATTTTGCCACATCGAACATTCTAGTCAAGCTATGTTGGGTAATGAATAGTTCAGCAGGTAAAACTTTAGACTTAAGTATCAGGCATGTTCGTATTTTCTACGGAGATAGCAAATGTTGATTTCCCAGTTAAATTGTCTCTTTACTCTAAAAATTTGAGACACTTGTAAATATTGAAAAAAGGCTGAACTTGAAGATGTGACAAAACTAATGATCTGAAAAGAATAACTCTTGTTTCGAATGGTTGGTACTATACGTCGCTCACAGTATATTGACACAATTGCAACAACTATTTTGCTTGAATACTTGTTTCATTCAGCTGCAAAAAAAGAGATTTCGGTCCACTAACACTCAAAGATACCTGGCATATTCCTTTGCGGAAATTGTTTCTTCTCTATAAATAATTATTTCTTAGGTATTTCTTTCCTCAAAGAAAATAAGTTCTGTTTTATCAACATTAAGAATAAATTCATTTTCATTCAAAAATTCTTGTACTTTTTCTTGCTTTTCTAGCATTATTTCACAATTTGCTTCATAAGCAAGCGTTCGAATTTTTTGAGAGCGTGTTTGTCACACAAATTGGCCTATAATTTGATGCAACCTGACTTTTACCTTTTTTGATTTAACAGTAATTTATTTATTTCTTCGTAAATTTCTTTTCTTGTGACGCACCGAAAGTCAAACACTGCAGTTGTAATTTTGTATTTTTTGGGGTAGTAATTGTGGAAAAAGGCGGAAAATTAGAAATCAGCGTTTTCTGCTGTTTCTTTGATGTACATTTCTACTAGATGGTTAGAATTTAACATGTACATCATTATTGGTTAATTTAACTTGAATTTGGTTTCAAATAAAACCACCACGACGTTACTAAAACTTTTAAAGCTCTGAAAATGGGATAACTTTTGAATTTCAAAAAAAAAAACTTTTTTTGTTTGGCTTTTTGACCAAGCTCCATTTATGAGCTTCATAACCAAAGATTATGCATTGGTACCTAGTATCAATTGACTTGAAAATTTTGCGAGCAAGACGGGCTCTCCCTTTTGCTAGTACTTCATAACCGCTCGCGGACTAAACAAAAAATACCGAATATATCTTGCAGGACTAAATACCTCTAGCATGAGTGATTTTGCGAGTCGGAACATTAGAAACAACTTATTTTTTGTGAGTCGACACGTGCGAGGTTATGCTAGCTAAATTAGCCGCCAATGTGACCAACCTGACGCTGATATGCGTTTGAAAGGTATCTTGGAAGTCAGTTTCTGCAGTGACAGTCTCCCGTGGCTGCAGAGGAACTTCGACTGCGAATCCACACACCCATACTCTACCAGAGCAGCACCTGGGTCCTCAAAGTACCTCCGGATGAGAGGCACTGGAAAAGGAAAATACAAATAATACACCACTGAATAAACATTATACAACTCAATTTGGAACATGGTCAGTCATACTCAATGAGGAATATTACATCTCGAAACCAAAGACGTTTCTTATATCGCAGCAAGATAATTTAAAACGGCGTCATTTCAAACTAGTTTTCTGAATTCAGTCTCCGTTTGTTCGTAGCTGCTCGAAAATAACAAATAAGCTCCTATTTTTTCCGATACATCTTAATTTAGATCCAATTTATCATGTTTATATTGAAATCTACTCACTGGGCACGTACGCGTGGTTTTCTGAATCAGGATCGTAACTGGGCAGTCTGGACGCGAAGTCTGCCAGGTACACCGCCTGGTCCCATTTCTTCTCCACTGCATTCTCATCTTCACGCATTTTAGCAACGAACAAACTATTCTGTTCACTCACATATCGATCCAAATCCAACGGCAGTGACCCTTTACTAATTTCATCTACATTCGGAGTTGTAGTGGGGTTAAACATGCTATTGACTTCCACAGGACTCGCTCGATTACCACCATCGGCAGTCTTTTTGCTGGTTTTACCATTAGCACTACTTTTTGAACTGCAGAAATATTCGTCAATATAGTTGTCTGCAACATAGACCAAAACGTACGCGTCTGATGATGAAAATTCAGGGCTGCCAGTAGTATTAGCCGCATGTTTCGGTCTATTAGCTGTATTCACTTTTGGCACTTTTGCCGATGACTTTTTGGCACCAGAGGTTGACGATGATTCTGCATCAGATTTGTTCGAAGTTGATGATGTTATTAGAGTTGAGTTTTTGACCTTGGAGTCATTGAAATCTTTCCAAGGTCCCTTCATCGAGGTTTTTATGGAGGCCATGTAATGTCCACATGTAGAAGAGGTTCCGACGTGAAACACTGCTCCGACCAATTGGAACCTGGTGTCATTGTAGAATACGCCCGAATTGACCCCTAATTAAAATGAAATAAAAAATTTGAAGTTGCATGTTCAACTCCCACGATTAACGCCTCAACTACTAATTCAATAACATCTTATAGCTGGAATCTCTCCACGGTATAGTTGGATAATAATTTGAGTCTGATTAGACGTTGTGTTAAGAAACCAACTGAATCCAATGAGCAACAGGTTTAAGTCGGTTTAAAAGCCTTCGGGAGGAGTGTTTCAAGATACAAGAGTCTAGGAATATAGCACCCTGATAGCCAGGCCATACAAGGCAAAATAAACGCTAAGAAACCAACTTGTTTTTTGAAAAAAAAAAAACAATTTTGAAAATTTCAAGAGAAAACATAAGCAAATTTCAAGAACAATTTATGACTGGCGCTTTTTTGATAAAATTAACCCCATTCAATCGATAAATTTCAATTCCGCTGGAGGCAAGGCGACAATCGTCGCAAACGTCAATTAGTAGCAGTGAAAGCTTTGATCAGAGTGAGAGAAATTAGATGCATATATTAAAGAACCAAGAAACTAAAAATCAAAATTGAACGAGAATCCCTCAAGTTGTTTGAGAATATTATTGTTGCTATAATGATTGAGGAGTTCAACTAATCTGGTTTGACTTTTTTTTGTACTTAACCACATTGGCGGCACTTTCTCCGGCAGTTATTGTCACCTATTTGTTCTCAAGTTGTTTGAGAATATTATTGTTGCTATAATGATTGAGGAGTTCAACTAATCTGGTTTGACTTTTTTTTGTACTTAACCACATTGGCGGCACTTTCTCCGGCAGTTATTGTCACCTATTTGTTCTCAAGTTGTTTGAGAATATTATTGTTGCTATAATGATTGAGGAGTTCAACTAATCTGGTTTGAATTTTTTTGTACTTTACCACCTTGGCGGCACTTTCTCCGGCAGTTATTGTCACCTATTTGCTCTCCGATCAACTATATTATTTTCTTAGGAAGGCCATAAGCCAACTTTGTTCTTTTCACACCATCTCCATCTGGAAGGCCCTATGCCATCCCTCGACTAAATTGTTGGTTTTTTGTCTTCCATTTTTGGCGTTTTCAAATTGATTCCAAAGTGAAATAGGGAATTGCCCAAATCTCCTGGGTCCTCGTCCCAAGTTGATTCAAAATTATCGAATTAATCCAGTAAGGAGGACTCATCAAACTTGTCGGACACTTCAGAACATAAAGCTGCCATGCCTATTTCAAAGTCGAGCTCAGGTAACAGCGCTAGACCAACAAATGACTTCAGAAGCATGCTCATTTTTTTATCATCCCGATAAACCGGTGCTAATCCGATCTTTTGAAATTTGCCCCAATTGGCCTGAGCAAAATGAAAGAAGCAGACTTTTATAGTTACTTTATTGAATACCTTTGAAGGGCGTTTATTGAAGCCTTCTCAAAATCTGCCACAACCTGGGAAGGCTCAAGTCCTGAATTGATTTCCTACAGTTGTCTGCAGGCCCGGATGTATTGCTCTTCACTTTTGTTTTGAAGAATAAAATAAACTAATGAAACAGTTTGATAATTAACCATTGCATGAGTTGTAAAAATTTGATAACGCTGGACAGGCTTTAAATGCCCCATCTGCATGCCAGACTCTGTTGCTTGCCAAAGTTCTCGTCGTTGACAAAAATTAACATTCGGTCTTTGTCATCCGACACCGGAACGAAAAGTAGAAAATTATCACCCCTCAGGGTCTTGATTAACTCCTACGGCACAACAATGTCTTTTATTGGGTGGCGGCGGAATCAATTGCACTTTGCCGTTGAACAGTTCTGGCGAGTGACTTATAATTAGTTATGTTAACAGCTGTTTCGAGGCTGAAATTCCCAGCAATTTTCACATAAATGAGGCTGGGAGGTTCCGATGTTGTTTTTCTGTTCTGTTTGATGGCAAGTTGCGAATCGTTGCTTGCGTCGAATAGTCGCCCACGCCGCTGGGAAATCTGCGTATCAAAATCCGCGTTCGATATAAAAAAACGATCGCGTTTTTCATGACCTTTACACTTTTGCTGTTTGATAGTTGAAATTACCTTCTTTTTGACAAAGGAAACGAACTGAACTAAGAAAATGAAAAATCAAACCACGAAAACAAAAATTTGAGCCTGAACAAAGACTTTTCCTGGAAAAAAAAACGAAGCAAAAAGCAATCACGACCTATATAAGAGTCTGAACTACGTTCATCTACTCTTAATCAATTGGCGTGATTCTATCAAACAATTTCCACTGAAGTACATAGATTTAAATTATATCCATGATCTTGAGCTTACACAAATCCGCAAAAAATCAATCTAGTACAACAAGAAATTAGCAAACAGACCATTCAAAATTTCTAGAACCTTTCATGATAAATTAAGAGCAGTAGGATCATAAAATAATTACCCGAAAAAAAAATCCAGAATTTCCAGAACCTTTTATAATAAAATTAGGACAGTGAGATCTTGAAATGATTACCCGAAAAAAAAACATGAACAATAATATCAAAAAATAGAAAATAATAAAAGCAACTGACCTTTCAAGTCGAAGAATGGTTGGAAGTCGTAGTATAGTGGGATGTCTATCTTCTGTTTCGACTTGACTCTACCGGTGAGTTGCCATTGGAACCGCATCAGATGCACATACAACACCCGAGGCAGTCTCCCAATAGACGTCTTCCTTGTCTTCGCAACATTCATCCCACATCTGCTCACAACACAACAGTTTAATTGGCAAAAACATTGGCAAAAACGATTGGCAAAAACATTAGTTGCTTTTAAATCAGGAAAGCTAAAACAGAGCTTCCTCTCACTAACTAAAAAATAAAAGAAGTCTAAAAAACATCATAAAAAAGTTTTTTGTTTTTTTTTTCTCATTTTTAAACATTTGCTTGGTCAAAACATGCTGCACTACTTAAACCTGCTTTCTTTGTTATAATTTTTTTCGTTAACTTCACTTTATGCAAACCATTGTTGTTTGCATGGCAGCATTGGATCATTCTAGGGTCTAAATTTCAAGTATAGGGCTGCTTCAGTTTTTCTGTTCTTATAGACTTGAAGATGCTCTAGAGCAAGTAAATGACCACTACAGGTCTATTATATTCGAGGAAAATCAAAAGCGAGACGCTTTGTTTTATTGTTTTGAAAGAATATTTTTGATACAGCTGCTTTCGGATTCAAATGGAGTTGGAGGTGTTCATCATATTGACCCGATTGAACTTCAAATAATGAAAAATACAGACTTTTTTCCAACACTGCGCAGAAGGTCGCAGGAGCATTCAAAAACAGTAGAAACTACGCAGAATAAGAATAACACCATTCCCGTCGATATTCCTAAAGATACGTGCATAAAAATTCTCCAAATCGGAGAAATGGAAATCTCCACCTGTCGAGAACTCGATGACCGCTTTTGCTCTACTTTATCAGCCCTCAATCATCGTCTAGGACGTTCCGAAGAGAAAATCAGAACAAGTGAAATAGAGGTTTCCCGGTAAAAACCAAGAGTGAGAGAGAGAGGGGTCTCAAATTACATTAATTTAAGGCAAATACCGCAAATAACTAACTCAAAATGCGTCCATCGGTCTGTCTAAAACTTTATCTCTAACGTAGTTAACCTGTCTCATTCGCGCAAACTTATTCGATACTATATTTGACATCAAAGCACTAAATTGAACTAAATATTTTGAGGCATTCTTTTTATATTAGGAACTGGTTAGTTTCATGGGACCCATCTATCACACTTGTACGCAGAAGTCACCTCTGATGATAAGGAAAAATGAGGACTAGGATTTTCGTGAGGCGACGGATCCAGTGGATTTTTAAACATTTTTTTTTTGCATTTTTGCCGACTTCTCCGCGAACACAAGAAAACGCCTACTTTGTCAAATCATACCACGAGTGAATTTCGTAACACTGAGGCGGTGTTCTATATTACAAGTATGTCCCAGTCTAAACGAAATAGCAGAATTACATGATGAATGATGGCCTTGTTTGTACTTACTTCTCGCAGTAAATGAGGTTGTTTCCGTCCATCAGTTCCTCCTGGAAGAACATCTGCATGCAGTCCTGTAGACTCCTGCACTCTGTGATGTTCAGACTCAAATGAGTGAATACAGAATCGGAGCCAGTCAGACTGCCACATCTAGACATGGAAAACAATACACTTAGTTGGGGGTTATTCTCATGCGCCAAGGACTGAATTCTCAAAATATTTCAGCCAATCAATGACTGTTAATTTTTTCTTTAGTGACCGAATTAATCGCTCACGTCTTTCGAATTTTGAATACTGAGCTCTCATTGGTTGTCAAAACTTTCACGCATTTTATCGTAGTGCATGTGGGATTCCCATGGGTAGTTCGTTTCTGCAAACTTAGGGCAGCGCTTAACCAGATAAATCGGTTGCAACAGTTTCAACGGTGGTAGGTCAGTAAATCGATATATCAGTAAACCGAAAACGGGCGGACTATATCAGTAAACCAAAAATCAAAATGATTCAATTGCGTAATCACATTAACTAAAAACTGAGATTTTTACAATGACGAAATTTTTCCTCAAAACAAAAATTGAATGTGAAAATGAAACACGGAGGCGAAGCGGAGCTTCGCAACACTTGCAATGCCAAAAACAAATTGCGTTACAAAAAAAATGAAATTAAAAAAGACCAGCCAACATTACGAGACCAAACTGTGCATTCTCTGCATTGTAAGCGGAATCCGCAACAGGCCAAAAGCAGATTTGTCGCGGAACCCGCAGCATTGCTACTTTTCTTTGATCTTCTATGCTGTTTTGGATTCCACAAACAAATACCTAAATCATTGTACCGCTCAAAATCGCTCGAAAAATAGGCGAATTTGGGGAATCCGCAACTGTATTTGCGGAATCCAGAACAGTTTGTGGAATCCACAAACAAATGATAAAACATTTGTATCGTTAAATTGAGCTGTTGCGGAATCCGCAAATTGTATGAGGAATCCGCATTTTGTTTGCGGATTGCCTTTACATATATTTATATAAGTAGTAGCCTTTAAGATTATATCTTTTAAATACATGATTTGATTTCACTAGAATAGAAATTTACTAGAATAGAAATTTATAAGTATAGATCAGTGTTTGGGATTAATGGAATCCCAATTACTGACCAGTATTTGGAATAGATGAAATCACAAATACTGAAATAATTCGACGATTTGCTATGCGTTGGGTTTCTACTCACTCTCAACCTAATGACTCCAAATAAATATATTCCATATTTATTCCACATTATTCCTGCTTTTGGGATTCCATCAATCCCAAATACTGACCAGTATTTGGGATCAATGGAACCCCAAATACTGAACTAAATTGACGATTTGCTATGCGTTGGGTTTCTAATCACTCTCAACCTAATGACTCCAAATATATAATGAATATACTCCATATTTATTCCATTATTCCAGTTTTTGGGAATCCCAAACACTGACCTATATTGTCGATATGCAGTGTGTTCCATACACTCTCAACTCAATGACTCCAAAAAATGAAATTGTTTGGTGTTGTATTTTCGAATTACTAAAAGATCACATCCACCGACTTAGGTAACCAATGTTTTAAGACTTGTTCGTGGATTCCTCTGACAATGGTTAAATATTTGCTTTTGATTTCCGCATTGCTAGAGATAACAATTCCAGCTCAGCTTTAAATTGTTCATATGCAAGTTCAGTATTGAACAAAATTCGGAATCCACTTACAGTTTGCGGAATCCACTTACATTTGCGGATTCCGCTTACATTTTGCGGAATCTACTTACATTTGCGGAATCCAAAACAACTAGCTATATTTGCTTGTTGCGGAAACCGCAACAAAACAAATGTGCCGACAAAATTTACGATACAGGTATATGTATGCGTAATCCACTGACATTTTGTTTGTGGAATCCACTTACAGTTTGGAACATATTTTAAGACTTGTCTCTGGAATACAGGAACATACAGACACAAAATTGCGCTCCTATCCAGTGCACAGTTTGGCCTCGTAATGAAAAAAGTTTTCTGAAAAATTATGTTGGAACAAACTACTTGAAAATCTAACTTGAAAAATTACAGCTACACAAACTTAGATGATGGTCATAAACAGCCCTTAAAAATGGAAATCCTTTACCAAGCTACAACAAGGGCGACAAACTTTGGGTCGGAACCTGATGTCATGAAAACAAAACTGTTGTCATGAAAAGTTTCCTAAAATTTAAAAGTTTTCTTGACCCAAACAGATATACTTTGCCCTCAAAATTACGCAAAATAAATTGACTAAGTCGATATAACATAAACTGAAACTGATTGAATATTTTAAAAAATGAAAAAAAAAACTCGAAGTTAGACATGGTAACTTTACAAATTTGTGTTTCAATTGTAGTAAAAAAATTTAAATTGAAAAAAATTATGCTTTGGAAAGTAATTTAATAAAAACCCTGCCAAATAAAAAAAATGGCGTTAAAAAAAGGAAAATGAACCGACAGAAACTAGGACGACAAGCACCAACCCAAAAAAAATTGAGAAATTTCGTTGCAAAGATAATTACAACCTAAAAGGGGCTTAGGAAACGGGCTAAGAAACTAATTACTATTTAAGTGATATAATTGAAGATCCTACTTAAGAAGTGAAGATCCTCTAGAATAGGAGATCCTCTAGAAGTGATCCAGTGGACAAAGTTGTTTACGGAAAAAAAACAAAGTCTAGTAGCCGATTGCAATACCCTTGCTTACCGCAAGGGCAATAAAACAGCTCTTCCCATGAGTTTCGTAGTTTTAACATTATTCTTCTAGCTCAAGGAAAATTTAGTCTAAAAATCTTTCATTTTGCAGTTGATGTAATTATTACGTAAGTCGATGTACTGATCTGGTAAATTACTGACACCTCGGTTTACTGTACGCAATATTGCTTAAACTTTCAAACAATTAACGCTCTTTAAACTGTTCCATGCTGACCGACTTCATCGATTATTACTTTGAAATTTTTGAACACTGCCTTCTTATTGACTTAAATAGATTTAGGGCAGCCGGTGTTTTGGCATGGAGAATCTCCATCCCCATAGCTTGGGTTGTTTTGATAGCCAGTCAGTCAGCCATTCAGTAGTTTTCCACCCTCTTTTGAATTCGAAGGTGTCCAAATTTGCAGTCAAGTATAGTTTTGCTTCTTTGTTAAAATAATAGTTTTTTTTCAAGAGACTCTTATTGCAGCCTCAAGCGGACTGCACATTCTTCGTAATCATCACTCATTTCATAATTGTTGGTTTTTTTGTCTTCCATTTTTGGCGTTTTCAAATTCACAAGTCCTGAATTGATTTCCTACAGTTGTCTGAAGGCCCGGATGTATTGCTCTTCACTTTTGTTTTGAAGAATAAAATAAACTAATGAAACAGTTTGATAATTAACCATTGCATGAGTTGTAAATATTTGATAACACTGGACATGCTTTAAATGCCTCATCTGCATGCCAGACTCTGTTGCTTGCCAAAGTTCTCGTCGTTGGCAAAAAATTAACATAAGGTCTTTGTCATCCGACCCCGAAACGAAAAGTTTATTTTGTAATCGTTATCGCCACGTGTGGAATTAAACGAAATGCTGTGATATTGGTATGTTCATATTGTTGTTTTGAATACCCCTCCCCCTTCACAATTAAAGTTGATTATTTCACTTTTCGGTCAGAAGAACAATTTTGAAAAGCTTTATTTCCTGAATGAAAAGTATATAAAGCTAATCATTTACATTTATAATCAGAACTTAGTTAGTCAGAATCGTCTAATATAACAGCACGTCGATTTAAGCACCGCCGTTTAGGTGGTCTAATTTCTTCCCGCTCGTTTTCTTAACTCATTTGCCCACTTAGCTGGTCGAAATCTACCAAATCCTGTTCTAGCTCTTGATCAGTGTATGTGGGTTGGTTGAACCCCATATCTGGTGGCGTAAAAAGATCCACGTAATAGCCCCCTGCTCTTCTATAGCTTCAGCCAAATCCTCCCTTCCGTTATCGGCGGGAGTGGGGACCACGTCTACGTCATATTCGCCCCAGTCCATGGTGCGCCCAATTTCTCTTATGAACATATCCTCACGCAAACGTTTATGTCCGAAAGGACTAGTAGTTACCCTGTCTGTATGTATATAGCGCTTATAATGGGTTAGCTCCCTTTTCGTATATTTTGAAATTCCTTTTTCGCTTTTCTTATCAGAGCCTAAAAAATAAAATACAATTGATTACTTCAAAATTTTATAAAATACAATTGATTACTTCAAAATTTTAACAGCTTTTTTCCCTTTTCAACATAAATACCTCCCTTCCCTCTCCCCTCCCCTAACTACATAATCTTATTATTTGTTTTTGTTGCCCTTTTCTAAAATGGTAATTGCAAAATGGTGAAAGAAAAAAAAGAAACTCACTGGAAGAAATAATGCTGTACAGTTTGGGCTTTAGTCCGACGTACTCCCGTATGATCTCCCCAGCAAACTCGTCCTTGAATTTGAGGGTAACGCGCAAATTCTCAATGGTGTAGAGGGGGTGGGTGGCTGGTAGATTTGAAAAGTCAAAATGATTTCGCATTTCATGGTTTTTCTCAATTTCATTGAGATCTTTGCTGCGGATTTCATACAGGAACGAATCAGTGTCCGAATATAAAAGAGTTGCGTCAAAATTTTTCTTGATTATGTTGTAATGGAACTGGAACATATAAAATTTTGCCAAATCTAGTAACGTTGCACCAACAATTGTGGGCTTATCCCATTTAACTGTGAAAAAAATTTATCCGGAAAATTCTGACTGTCGGAATTACTTTCTGGCTGCATGTTCTCTGTTTTTCTTTTCCAGTGAAAATGATTCAAATTATGACGTAGCTATTAAACTTAGGCCATATGGAGGTCTTATTAGCATAGACGACTATGTTTAATAGCTACGTCATAATTTAAATTATTTTCACTGGAAAAGAAAAACAGAGAACATGCAGCCAGAAAGTAATTCCGACGGTCAGAATTTTCCGGATAAGTTTTTTTCACTGTCAAATAAACTTCATGAATGATTTCCAAGGCTGTTAAGGTAACTCTACGTTTTTCCAATTTCATTTTTTCCGACACTCGTTGAGCCTGCTGAATTTCAAAACAGTGGAAATATAAGTAACCTGTTAGATACCAACAGCTGATATCTACAACTCGGTGATATACATTTAATTAGACCATCAACCTTTTTCATATTAATTTAACAATTTAGTGAAGCTAAAGAGCTAGTAGTAAAAGAGCTCTGGCTCAAACCGCGCCAGTGGGCCAAGGGGAAACCCCTTCCCCAGACTTTCGTCCCTGGGTCGCCCGAGTGGGAACTCTTCACTGAGCAACTCAGGGACGTGGTCGCCCTCGGGGGTTGGATTGGGTTTAGGGCTGCTGATCTGCTGGGGCTGATGGACAGCCCAGTAGTGACCATTTATTGACACCTCTTCTTACAAAGAAGAGGTTGTTTTTTACCATATTATATATTTTTAGTCCCTTTCTTCATCACCCCTTTTACTTCTCTTATTTTGTTTATTATTATTATTATTCCTTTCGACAACATCAACTTTCGAGTAAGTCATTCTTATTTTGTTCAAAAAGATCATTCATTTTTGCCTAAATAGAGGTGGCGGACGCCGCACTTGACGAATTTTCCTTTCTTCGAGATTCAGCAATAAAACATGCATTTTTGAAGGAAATCGTTCACCGCAGCCAACAGTTAAGCTACGCTGCCAAAATCTGGTGCTTTCCTATATACCATAAAGTTTGGTTGCATTAGGTTCAATTGATTGCATAAAAAATGTATATAACGTCATTTTACAGGTAAACAAGCCAATACCCCCAAACTTTAGAAGGGAAACATGCACCAACCAAAACTTAATTCCATTCCCGTTTCCGTGAAGTGGCTGGAAAGTTACCAATTTCAACCCCCCCTAAAACATGCGTGCCCGAAAAATTAGGGGCTTTAACCCCTTTGGGGCTTAAAAGTGGTAAGTACAACGGCACACCGAAAAATGGGGGGGGGGGGGTTAAAAGTGGTCATTTTTCTAGCCACTTTTACTATACTACTTATATCAATAAATGAAGGCCGCTGCCTTCGACTCAAAAAATGATGAAAGATTGCTAGAGATAACAATTCCAGCTCAGCTTTTAATTGTTCATATACAAGTTCAGTATTGAACAAAATCCGGAATCCACTTACAGTTTGCGGAATCCATTTACATTTGCGGATTCCGCTTACATTTTGCGGAACCTACTTACATTTGCAGAATCCAAAACAACTAGCTATATTTGCTTGTTGCGGAAACCGCAACAAAACAAATGTGCCGACAAAATTATTTACGATACAGGTATATGTATGCGGAATCCACTGACATTTTGTTTGTGGAATCCACTTACAGTTTGGAACATATTTTAAGACTTGTCTCTGGAATATAGAAACATAGAGACACAAAATTGCGCTCCTATCCAGTGCACAGTTTGGCCTCGTAATGAAAAAAGTTTTCTGAAAAATTATGTTGGAACAAACTACTTGAAAATCTAACTTGAAAAATTACAGCTACACAAACTTAAGATGAAGGTCATAAACAGCCCTTAAAAATGGAACTCCTTCACCAAGCTACAACAAGGGCGACAAACTTTGGGTCGGAACCTGATGTCATGAAAACAAAACTGTTTAAAAGTTTTCTTGACCCATCCAAACTGAAACATAATCCCAAACAGATATACTTTGCCCTCGAAATTACGCAAATTAAATTGACTAAGTCGATAAAACATAAACTGAAACTGATTGAACCTTTCAAAAAATGAAAAAAAACTCGACGTTAGACATGGTAACTTAACAAATTTGTGTTTCAATTGTAGTAAAAAAATTTAAATTGAAAAAAAAACCATGCTTTGGAAAGTAATTTAATAAAAACACTGCCAAATAAAAAAAATGGCGTTAAAAAAAGGAAAATGAACCGACAGAAACTAGGACGACAAGCACCAACCCAAAAAAAATTGAGAAATTTCGTTGAAAAGATAATTACAACCTAAAAGGGGCTTAGGAAACGGGCTAAGAAACTAATTACTATTTAAGTGATAGAATTGAAGATCCTACTTAAGAAGTGAAGATCCTCTAGAAAAGGAGATCCTCTAGAAGTGATCCAGTGGACAAAGTTGTTTACGGAAAAAAACAAAGTCTAGTAGCCGATTTCAATACCCTTGCTTACCGCAAGGGCAATAAAACAGCTCTTCCCATGAGTTTCGTAGTTTTAACATTATTCTTCTAGCTCAAGGAAAATTTAGTCTAAAAATCTTTCATTTTGCAATTGATGTAATTATTACGTAAATCGATGTACTGATCTGGTAATTTACTGACACCTCGGTTTACTGTACGCACCCCAGCTTCAACTTACAGGCTCTATAATATGGGCTATTTTCATGAAAGGATGACCAATATTGCTTAAACTTTCAAACAATTAACGCTCTTTAAACTGTTCCATGCTGACCGACTTCATCGATTATTACTTTGAAATTTTTGAACACTGCCTTCTTATTGACTTAAATAGATTTAGGGCAGCCGGTGTTTTCGTATGGAGAATCTCCAGCCCTATAGCTTGGGTTGTTTTGATAGCCAGTCAGTCAGCCATTCAGTAGTTTTCCACCCTCTTTTGAATTCGAAGGTGTCCAAATTTGCAGCCATGTATAGTTTTGCCTCTTTGTTAAAATAATAGTTTTTTTTTCAAGAGACTCTTATCGCAGCCTGAAGCGGACTGCACATTCTTCGTAATCATCACTCATTCCATAATTGTTGTTTTTTTTGTCTTCCATTTTTGGCGTTTTCAAATTCACAAGTTGATTCAAAATTGTCGAATTAATCCAGTAAGGAGGACTCATCAAACTTGTCGGACACTTCAGAACATAAGTCCTGAATTGATTTCTTACAGTTGTCTGAAGGCCCGGATGTATTGCTTTTCACTTTTGTTTTGAAGAATAAAATAAACTAATGAAACAGTTTGATAATTAACCATTGCATGAGTTGTAAAAATTTGATAACGCTGGACATTCTTTAAATGCACCATCTGCATGCCAGACTCTGTTGCTTGCCAAAGTTCTCGTCGTTGGCAAAAAAATTAACATAAGGTCTTTGTCATCCGACCCCGAAACGAAAAGTTTATTTTGTAATCGTTATCGCCACGTGTGGAATTAAATGAAATACTGTGATATTGGTATGTTTATATTGTTGTTTTGAATACCCATCCCCCCTTCACAATTAAAGTTGATTATTTCACTTTTCGGTCAGAAGAACAATTTTGAAACGCTTTATTTCCTGAATGAAAAGTACTATAAAGCTAATCATTTACATTTTTAATCAGAACTTAGTTTATCAGAATCGTCTAATATAATAGCGCGTCGATTTAAGCACCGCCGTTTAGGTGGTCTAATTTCTTCCCGCTCGTTTTCTTCTCAACTCATTTTGCCCACTTAGCTGGTCGAAATCTACCAAATCCTGTTCTAGCTCTTGATCAGTGTATGTGGGTTGGTTGAACCCCATATCTGGTGGCGTAAAAAGATCCACGTAATAGCCCCCCTGCTCTTCTATAGCTTCAGCCAAATCCTCCCTTCCGTTATCGGCGGGAGTGGGGACCACGTCTACGTCGTATTCGCCCCAGTCCATGGTGCGCCCAATTTCTCTTATGAACATGTCCTCACGCAAACGTTTGTCCGAAAGGACTAGTAGTTACTCTGTCTGCGTGTATATAGCGCTTATTGTCAAATGCGCTCAGGGAAATTTTGTTCGTTATTATGGTTTGTAAATTGTGATTAACGTACATTTTGAAATTCCGTACATTTTGAAATTCCTTTTTGCTTTTCTTTTAGAGCCTAAAAAATAAAATACAATTGATTACTTCAAATTTTTAACAGCTTTTTTCCCTTTTCAACATAAATACCTCCCTTCCCTCTCCACTCCCCTCACTACATAATCTTATTATTTGTTTTTGTTGCCCTTTTCTAAAATGGTAATTGCAAAATGGTGAAAGAAAAAAAAGAAACTCACTGGAAGAAATAATGCTGTACAGTTTGGGCTTTAGTCCGACGTACTCCCGTATGATCTCCCCAGCAAACTCGTCCTTGAATTTAAGGGTAACGCGCAAATTCTCAATGGTGTAGAGGGGGTGGGTGGCTGGTAGATTTGAAAAGTCAAAATGATTTCGCATTTCATGGTTTTTCTCAATTTCATTGAGATCTTTGCTGCGGATTTCATACAGGAACGAATCAGTGTCCGAATATAAAAAAGTTGCGTCAAAATTTTTCTTGATTATGTTGTAATGGAACTGGAACATAAAAAATTTTGCCAAATCTAGTAACGTTGCACCAACAATTGTGGGCTTATCCGATTTAACTGTGAAAAAAACTTATCCGGACAATTCTGACTGTCGGAATTACTTTCTGGCTGCATGTTCTCTGTATTTTTTTCCAGTGAAAATGATTTAAATTATGACGTAGTTATTAAACTTAGGCCATATGGAGGTCTTATTGGCATAGACGACTATGTTTAATAGCTACGTCATAATTTAAATTAATTTCACTGATAAAGAAAAACAGAACATGCAGCCAGATAGTAATTCCGACGGTCAGAATTTTCCGGATAAGCTTTTTTCACTGTCAAATAAACCTCATGAATGATTTCCAAGGCTGTTGAGGTAACTCTACGTTTTTCCAATTTCATTTTTTCCGACACTCTTTGAGCCTGCTGAATTTCAAAATAGTGGAAATATAAGTAACCTGTTAGATACCAACAGCTGATATCTACAACTCGGTGGTATACATTTAATTAGACCATCAACCTTTTTCATATTAATTTAACAATTTAGTGAACATAAATTTTCAGTCTGCGCTTTATTTTTTTCAATCAGCTTAGTGTCAAAGTCAAACAAGAAGTCAAATCAATTTTCAGAAGTAGCATTCGACAAATCAAATGTTTTTACAAGTTTTTGTTTCCAAATCAAACTCAAAATTTCTAAACTGGTTGAAAATAACACGCAGCTAATAGTACAATTTCTTCTGTCTGTGTTTTCGTGATAAGCGTATTTTAAACTCTTAGGGAAAATTTAGGGAAAGTTTAGCACAATTATCACCTTCCGAAACCTGCTGTTCCAGAAGTTATTATTTGATGAACAATTTCATGAGATTTAAAAGGTTAATTTGCTTGTTTTAGATGCCATCATACTTAGAGACAGTCAAAGTCCCTTTCGGAGGGCTAACCCTCATCAACGTTCCAATTGAGGAGATTCATGTTCGTTTTAAGTCTGGGCCCGATCCTGAGGCCCTAGTAGTAAAAGAGCTCTGGCTCAAACCGCGCCGGTGGGCCAAGGGGAAACCCCTTCCCCGGACTTTCGTCCCTGGGTCGCCCGAGTGGGAACTCTTCACTGAGCAACTCAGGGACGTGGTCGCCCTCGGGGGTTGGATTGGGTTCAGGGCTGCTGATCTGCTTGGGCTGATGGACAGCCCAGCAGTGACCATTTATTCACACCTCTTCTTATAAAGAAGAGGTTGTTTTTTACCATATTATATATTTTTAGTCCCTTTCTTCATCACCCCTTTTACTTATCTTATTTTGTTTATTATTATTATTCTTCCTTTCGACAACATCAACTTTCGGGTAAGTCATTCTTATTTTGTTCAAAAAGATCATTCATTTTTGCCTTAATAGAGGTGGCGGCCGCCGCACATGACGAATTTTGCTTTCTTCGAGATTCAGCAATAAAACATGCATTTTTGAAGGAAATCGTTCACCGCAGCCAACAGTTAAGCTACGCTGCCAAAATCTGGTGCTTTCCTATATACCATAAAGTTTGGTTGCATTAGGTTCAATTGATTGCATAAAAAAGGTATATAACGTCATTTTACATGTAAACAAGCCAATACCCCCCAAACTTTAGAAGGGAAAACATGCACCAACCAAAACATAATTCCATTCCCGTTTCCATGAAGTGGCTGGAAAGTTACCAATTTTAACCCCCCTTAAAACATGCGTGCCCAAAAAAGTAGGGGCTTTAACCCCTTTGGGGGTTAAAAGTGGTAAGCACAACGGCACACCGAAAAATGGTGGGGGGGGGGGGGGTTAAAAGTGGTCATTTTTCTAGCCACTTTTACTATACTACTTGTATCAATAAATGAAGGTCGCTGCCTTCGACTCAAAAAATGATGAAATTTTCAAAAAATTAATTTTGATTGTTTTTCAAAAACATTATCCCCACACACTATTTGAAGTAAAACGATATACTCAGCATAGAGTAATATACTAACTTGAACAATCAGCATTTCTCAATTCAACTCGGACAATTTCTGAGCCGGATTAAAGGCCACGTTAGCACCACGAAATATATATCGCGTTAATTATTCCAAAATGGCACTTTTCAAGTCCTCATATCTTAGGCACAAAAAAATCACAAAAAATATCTTTTCAATATGAGCTCTTTACAAAACTGACATTCCTAAATTAGAGTAGCAACTCTGGGTGAGAAGATAAAGAGTAATGAAGGCAAGTAAACATAAAAAAACACTGACTTTCTTGAAAAAAATCTCAATTTTTGAATTTCAAAGAGAGAATTAGATGCCCTTAAAGCTCTTTTAAATCCTAGAACAATTTCTTTTTGGCTGTCTTTTGATAAAATGAACCCAATTTAAGAAAACTGGATCAATAGGTAAAGTTTTAATTCTTCTGGAAAATCTTAAAAATAAATTCCACTTTCGGAACTCGAAATCGTTCACGAATTTTTGCGCCATTTGCACGTTCGTATTTGGAGAGTGCTATTAAAGTCACTTTCAGCAGATGAATTTCAATTGAACTCAAAAGTGCATTATACCTAAGTGCATCAATACTGAAAAAAAAATAGCAAGACCTATATAAGAGTCTTCACTTCGCTCATTACTCTTAATTAAAATAAACTGAAAGAATTGTGAGTAAAATGAACATTCACAAACTTAAACCAAATGGTTTTGTACTTTGGAAATGTGAACTAAAGAACAGCAGATCACAGAAGTTCAAATCACAGAAGCGGAGCTGCAGTTCACAAACGTGGGCAAAAAAACTCCACAAATAATTTTGAAACAGGGGCGAGGATGAGTTTCGCACTACTTGCGATACACAAAGCCAAATGTTCAAAAATTTGTTTAAAACCAAAACTCAGTGACCTAGTATTGAACCAGCTTGACAAACTTGGAACTGCACTACAGATTGCGCTACAATATACTCAAGGGACAAAAAGATAGAAGTCAAAAGAAATTTCTGAAACATTAAGTTGAAAAAATTACTAGAACACATAACTTGAAAAAAAACTGGTAAAACAAGAGCTACAATAACGTCATGATTTTATCGGATGAAGTTCATACACAGTCTTAAAACAATTGGAAATCATTCACTGACCGCCAACAAAGGCAACAATTTTTGGGTCGAAACCTGTTGAGCCGAAAACAAAACTGTTGTCATAAAAATTTTCATGAAGGTTCAAAGTTTTTACGACGCATCCATACCTAAGCACATTATCCTCAACAAAGATGTTTTGACTTCGAAATTACGTAATAAATGTTTACTAAGCCGAATTAACAAACTTTTCAAAGATTAAAAAAAAACAAAAAAAAGAGAAAAATATAACTCAAAAACAGACTTAGGGCATTTACAAATTACTGAATTTTCAGTAATATTAAAAAACTGTTTAAAGTGGGACAAAACCCATGCTTTATAAAGAAAGACAATAAAAAAACTACGAGAAAAAAAATCTTCGTTGAAAAAAGGAAAATGACCTTGAAAAATTAAACACAACCTGAAAAATTCTTTAGCTAATTATTACTAACAATTAGTGTTTTATTTGAATATAAAGAAATTGAGCATGTCAGAAATGCTTTTTACCACTCTTACTATCATGACTATTCTGTGAACAAAGTATAAGATTGTGTTGCAAAGCAAATGTAGAGTATAGATGCATATAAAACAATAGTACAAATGCATATAAACGTAAATGTGCGAGACTATAAATGTATATTAAGTTGAACAAAAATGTAACAAAAAATAAGCAATTAAAAAGGGTTTGCATAATCAAGATCACAAAATCAACTTGTTTCGGTACAACACGTTTTGTAAGATCATTTGGCGCAAGCTAGCCACAAGAACTGGTCGGTAATGTCCTTGAGACAAATTGCTCTTTTTGGCGGTCAGTCTTAATCAAGGCTGAACCGAATTAGAACCAAAAAACAGTAAAAAACGGTCAAATAGGGCTATAGCCCCTCGGGTCTACATGTTTTAAGGTCTGCATATGGGGGGACTCGAACCCGGTTGACCAGCGTGAGAGACTTGTCTCTAGGCCGCTCGGCCAACTGTGCTTATGGTTGTTACATTTTGGTTCAACTTAATATACATTTATACTCTCGCACATTTACGTTTATATGCATTTGTACTATTGTTTTATATGCATCTATACTCTACATTTGCTTTGCAACATCCTCCCCCCCCCCCTTCCTCCCCCCCCCCCCCCCCTGAAGAAGGAAGAACCGGAGCGAGCTTAACGGTCGGCCGCGTGACTTCACGGGTTGCGGTCCTGACAAGGGCGGATCGGGCGCAACCGTCCTGTCCGTAGTTTAGCTTGACGATTCGGGCGAGAGGGTAGTACCCACGCG